AGGAAACTTTCTTAAAAATGGCTATATTTGGCATGTTCCAGTAGGTTTTCAGCACTAAGACTGTTTAGGCAAATATTCAGAAACTTTTCAGCATTTCTTTCTGAAATGTTCAACAAACAGAAGGATATTTAACGAAATGTTCAGTAAAAATTTGAAAGAATCTATACTCAGCCATTGTTCAGTATTCAGCTATTGTCCAGGTAGGGTTCAGACCATTTTCAGCTTTAGCTTACATTTTTCAGGAAGGGTTCAGATGATTTTCAGTTATAATTCAGGAAAGTTTCCATTGGTTTTTAGACATGGGTGAAATAAAATAAACTGTTGTGTCTTTGTCTTTTTATTATTGTTATTTATTTTGTGTCAAGTTGCGATCGGATGAGTCAAGCACTTTCAAACTGATGATTAGTTTGCGTTGTGTTGTTATATCATTGACCCAGCATTGTGACATAGGAAATCTACGAGAAAGTGCACAAATTCAAAAGTCGTTTATACATAATACAGTATATATTTTGCTCGTTTCTAACTGTAACTGTGACTAACTGACCAGAAATGGTTTACATCTCTGTTTTTTTATCTATGAATAGTTCACTCAGCAGCAATAATGCCACATCTATTCTTATTATTTTTATATTTTATAACTGTCTCAAGTGAAAGCTTCCATGCTGCCTGTTGATACTTGGGCCAAGTATTGTACACCGTTAGGCTACCACATGTAAGGAGCAATACAGTAAATCTACATGTATTCCCTCATCTTTCACTTGAAACATTTAGTATCTATAACAGTGACATTAACAATATTACTAAAACAAAATACTTCTATCTATAGTACTTTACTTGTGTGACCTTGAATCAACAATGGAAAAACTCTACATTGACCAAGGATAGGCAAGGAACAGTGAAAATAAGGTCAAGGTTAGATAACATCTTCCAGTTAGACATTTACACCTTACAACCATTCCATACACCAAATATAGTTGACATATTGCTCATAGCATCAGATACTGATTTAACCACAAAAACTTAACCTTGATCACTTGTCCATGAAATGATGTCAAGGTCAAGTGAATCCTGTTTTTTTTCAAGAATTTCATGTTCATGTGGTCAAGACATATTTTCTGTAGAGGAAAACAGCATGTGCCTTGTTCAATTTTTTCACCTAAAAAAATAATGATAGAGTCTTTCCTGCCCTTGACCCTTTGAAATTTTCTTGTGATAATAGGGAAAATCAACATTCTATTTCCAATGGCCTGATCATATATTGTGAATCATGAATAATTCATGAACTTTTTAATTTTATTATTTCAGAAATTGAGAATCATTTAGATATTAAATAAAAATCAGATTATTATATGTAAACTTCTCTTTGTTTCTGGAATTAAAATTGAAGTTTCAGAGCTTCAAACTAGACCAGTTCAATTCACAGCTAAATTCAGCTTGAATTTCACAAAGTTTCCATGGAAGATGCATTTTGGCACCTGGTCAAATCAGCACGGTTATAGTCAATTTGGCACCAAGTCAAATCGAGACCTGCACCAAGTCAAATAGAGACCTGGTTAATTCGGCACCCAAAATTAACAGATTATGTTTTGCAAGTAATTTAAACTATTAAAGAAAATTGTTTAAACAACAAACTTGTTATTGTTTAATGTAATTGATACAAGTTCCTCAGTTTTTATTTAAAGTGATAGCCAATCAAACCATTACATTATTAATAGAGTAGTGAGAAAACTTCAAACAGAAAGCCAACTGATTATTGTTTATTGTGTATTCTTATTGCTGAATTACATCTGCTGAGTTTGTAACAATGTACAAAATGAACCTCTGAAATTGCATGAATTGTAATATTTGCAAAAAAAAACCCAAAAAAACAACCTGAAAACTATTCTCAAATGATTTTTTAGGGGTTCCAATGGATAGTAAACCCGGCAAATAGTAACAAACCCCTGTGGTTCATCATAACAAATGAACAAAAATGACTGTGTTTAGACCTCGAAAATAATTCTCTAAATTCCGACAAACCAGTGCAATATTGAAACAGTTTAAAGGCCTAGCATCCACTAGATTCCACAGGTGGTTGTGGACATGATTACCTTTGGGTGCCCCTGAGTGGGAGTATCTTGAACGAATTCCCCCTATGTACATGTAGTTTATAATTAAAAAATTTTTTTTTTAACATTTACATAAACTATTTTCACTTGGAATATATTTTGATTTTACTGACCAGCAAATATCTCAATAGACGCGACTTTCGAATTCTTGAACTTTCCCTTAAATAATTCATATGTTATAATAATTACTTCACACTAAAAACCAATTGTTCAATGACGTTGTTTACGCCAATTGACTTCAGATCAACTCATGTAATTCATTCATGAAAAACAATTGAGTTTGGTGATCTTTGGTGTATTCTGTTCTGGTCCGATAAAAAAGTTTCAACAGGATTTTTTTCTAACCAGAAGGTTTTCAGCATTGTGTCTGAACAATTCAGCATCTTGCTAATCTGTTCAGAAAGTTTTTTAGAGCTGTTCTGAACAGTAAAGCATCTGGCCTTCTGTTCAGAAAGTTTTTTGAGCTGTTTTGAACAGTTCAACATTGTCTGAATAGTTCAAAAAGTTTTCAGCACATTTTCAGATGTCTTTCTAAAAAATTTGTTAGGGTTCCGCGGAACCCAGTGTCTCGCCTACTTTTGCTGTTAGTTGCAGGCTCAACAAAAATGGGGAAAAAATTATTAAAAATTTTCCTCTAGATACTATCCTTTGATTGTAAGAAGTTCTGTTCAAGTTTGGTAAAAATCCAAGAAGGTTTATGAATCTAATAAATGTTTTAAAAACTTTAACTGCAGACTATATGTAATGTTAACTGGAAGAAAACTAAGTCCATTTAAAAGTAATATACGGAAAAACAGGAAATAAATTTTTACAAAATTTCCTTCTAGATACTAGCTTTTGATCATAAACAAGCTTCTGTCCAAGTTTGGTACAAATCCAGGATAGTTTAAGAAAGTTATTAAAATTTGAAAAAACTTTAACAACAGAGTGAATGTAATGTTAACTGGCAGAAAAACTAAGTCCATATATGAGTAAAATACGGATAAACAGGATTTTTTTTATTACAAAATTTTCTTCTGGATACTATCTTATGATTATAAACAAGCATCTGTCCAAGTTTGGTACAAATCTGGGAAAGTTTAAGAAAGTTATTAAAATTTGAAAAACTTTAACCACAGAGTGAATGTAATGTTAACTGGCAGAAACACTAAGTCCATTTATGAGTAAAATACGTATAAACAGGATTTTTTTTTTACAAAATTTACTTCTGGATACTATCTTATGATCATAAACAAGCTTCTGTCCAAGTTTGGTTGAAATGTAGGATAGTTTAAGAAAGTTATTAAAATTTAAAAAACTTTAACCAAAAGAACGTTTTCAACATTGTGTCTGAATAGTTCAGGGATTTACTGAAATATTCGGCACTATTTGAAGAGATAAAAAAATAGCATAGTTACAGATGTTTGTCTAAGGAGTTCAGCAATCACTGAACAGTTCAGAATATTTTCAGCCTCAGTTCAGCACTGTCTGAATTTTTCAGCACAGTCTGAACTTATCAGAAAATAAAACAGTACTTTTTCAGCAATATCTGAACATTCCAGTAAGTTTTCAGTATTTGTTCAGAATGTGGAAAAAGTGCTTCAGCAATTTTTATACGACCGCAAAAATTAAAACTTTTTGGTCGTATATTGGTATCATGTTGTCGTTGTCGTCGTCAGCGTCGTCCGAAGACAGATGGTTTCCGTATAATAACTTTGGTATAAGTGAATAGAAATCAATAAAATTTTAACACAAGATTTATAACCACTAAAGGAAGGTTGGGATTGATTTTGGGGGTTATGGTCCCAACTGTTCAGGAATAAGGGGCCAAAAAAGGGGCTCAAATATTCATTTTTGTAGTTTCCAGACAATAACTTGTGTTAAAGTGTATGAATCTCTCTGAAATTATACCACAAGTTTCCATACTACAAAGGGATGGTTAGGATTGACTTTTGGGGGTAATGGCTCAAACCATTTAGGAATTAGGGGCAAAAGAAGGGGAAAAACAAGGGTTTTTCTGGTTAAAGGACAATTGAGACAATTTAAAAGCAGTGTAAGGGAGGTAATCAAAATCAAAATCCAAATCAATTTAAATAACAATGTTTGATTACCTCTCTTACACTGCTTGTAAATTATGTATTAAGAAATGATGATTGTCTGAGAAACTGACCATAACTTGAGGGAAAGAATTATTTTTTGGAATAAGGGAAAGGGGGGAGGTGAAAAAAATTGGAGGGGGCCATTTTTTCTCATTTCAGATTTCAGAAATTAAAAGAAAATTTCTTCAAATATTTTTTTCTGGGGGGTTAATATTCAACAGCATAGTGTATTGCACAAACGCAAAAAAATGAATATAAATTCAAATCATAATAACCAATTTGAAGTTCTTTGACTACAGTTATTCTGTGTCAGAAACCTATTATGTGTCAAAAATTTAATTACAATCCAAATTCAGACCTGTTTCAAGCATGAATATTGTGTCCATTTTGGCACCAATTTTTCAGGGTTGGACATCTGCGGTCGTATACAGCTGCGCTCAGCGAAGCAATTCATTCAGATCCTAAAATTTTGGTCCAGAACCTATTCAGCAAAGTTCAACAAAAATTCAGAAGTTATGTTTCATGAGGGAAATTAATCAAAATCATTGTTTTAATTTTTTTCATGACTAAAAGAAGATGTGGGGTTAACATTATCAAGACAGCAACCTTAATGACACAGCAAAACAAAAAGAACTCTAGAGCTCAAATTGCTTATTCATGCACATGCACCATCATCTGAAGGAACTCAGAATTTGAATAATATGCAACAAGGAAAATGTGTCTTATACTATATATTGAACTGGCCATATTTAATAAAGCATGCTAAATATTGACCTTACCACATTCGACAAAGGATTCTTAATATTGACCTTACCACATTCAATAAAGCAGTTATCTTCCTGCATCCATGAGTCTCCACAATAACGCCCCATAGGTGATGGTGCTGGATTCTTACAATCTCTAAACCTCCTCTTCTTCCCTGCCCCACAAGATACAGAACAAGGGGACCAGTCTCCCCATGCACTCCATCCTCCATGGACTGGTTCTGAAAAATTATTTTTTTTAAAGAAACTGAAATATTTGGTTTTTCTACTAGCCCCCTACAATAAGCCAATTTTTAACTATTAATACTTTTAAGATATCAATTGAATGTAAAAGTTGGACAGAATAATAAAGACTTCAGGAAAACACTTAGCTCTGTCAATTAATAATACCTTTTCCTTTACAATCACCAGGATGCTTTCTTTTGATCCTTCTCTGTTCCTTACAACTTGACCGTTCTAGATGACATTGTGTCCTGTATGTCATTCCGTCATCCCCACATACAGGGGTGTGGCCATTAGGACAGGGTAGGAGAGGACATCTACATGCTGGACCATTGCTGACTTTGTCTATGTAGCATTCCCCATAGAAGGCACAGAAATAGTTTCCACAGGAGGCTAAAAGAAGACAAAAATTACATATTTATATCTTTCACCTTAATTGGCATTTATATTTTTCTGTAATAATTTCACAATAACACTACTCTTTGACTCCTTACAACAGAAACCATTCATGTGTCTGATAATGACCAATTTTTTTTTATTGTATAAATAAGAAGATGTGGCATGAGTTTCAATGAGACAACTATCCATCCATGTCACAATGTGTAAAAAGTAAACAATTATAGGTCAAAGTACGGCCTTCAACACAGAGCCTTGGCTCACACTGAACAGCAAACATTTTTAAGACCAACTTTCTTTTAAGGTAGATCAGGTATCTTCCCACATCTTGGATTGTAAAATAGCAGAAATCAATCAGTCTAGATCATATAATAAAATGTGCAAATATTGAGAGAGGAATGTTATTCATTTGTAAGATTTTTCATCTTAATGAAGAAAATTATGTGTTTTATTTTATTATTAAGACTGTTTTCACACTTACTATCGAATATGTTTGATCTAATACTTTTTTCGTCAACTAACTCATTTAAGGGGAGATAACTCAGATAACCAAACTTTTATAAAGGAATGTGTAGTGAAATTACCAATTTTTTTTTGTAGCAAGAAAACAAGTCCTGGATGACCCCATTTTTCGTTTTATTTTCTGAAAGCACATTATAAGAGCTATCTTCTCATATTTTTCTTAAATTCTATCATTTAGGTTTCTTTCCATTACACAAAATGGTTTTTCCATGTATAATGTATACAAAATCTGACAATTTTTGCACAATCTGCAGCTTAAAAAAAAAACATGTAACCCATACTTTTTATCATATTTTTGATATCTGGGAGCTTTTATATCTTACTTTACCGTATGGGGTTTTACTAATTTTTAAAAGCCATACTATGACCTAAGTGTAGTTGCTTACATCTTTGGTCTTCGTGGTGGATAGTTAATGTCTCATTAGCAATCATTCCACATCTCCTTTCTTTCATTCTAGCATTAGTGAAATAGTTAAAAACTAAACTTTTGTAACAAAAATCCATCTCTTTAATAATTATGCTCTTGCACTATCAGCTTAAACCTTCACTGAACTTCCCTTGTAAAAATGTTTGCTGAAAAGGTTTTAAATCCAGAAAATTCAATCAATAACAGTAAAATGGATTTATTTTAGGGCAAATAAAAAGGATTTTGTAAGTTTTATTAAAAATATTGCCTTACATCAGGACATAGGTATAGACCCTCACTTACATAATAAGCAAATTTTTATGACATATTTATTCATCTAACAAAAGAATTATTTGTTAAGTAAACCTCAGAAATATAAGCAGATATAGAATAACATCTAAGAGAAGAACTTCTATCCTTTACCTGACTTAACTAACAGTGGTGGAAATATTACACTAACATAGTGGTATGAAAAGAATTCATAATTTTTTTTAAATTGTGATAGACCAACGAAAGACCTTCTGTGACATATTATTGACGTTTTAAGATGTTTATATAATGGATTAGATTTCATACTCATCGACTTATAGGATTCTCTGTTTAAAATTGGTTATTAAATCTATGGTCCTATTTAATATTGATAGTATTCTGGTCTAAAGTATGTCATTTTATTATTATTTTTAACAATGTTAAATGATTCAGTACTAATATATCTGTGAGTCACTTAACAAATAACAGAATTTTGCACTATAAATATAATACTTTAATATATGCAAAAAATTATCATAAGGTAATAGTCTGTTTACTATATATACCCATCAATTCTATTACATAATATAGAAAATGTTTGTTGCTATAAATGCCATTGTCATTTTTTTTATTTTTCAACTTTTCTTTATACTTTCAATACAAATTCTTATTCATATATATATATATACATATATTTTTTTTCGTTTGGGCTTGTATTATATTTGCCTTCGGGTTTATATGATCCGTTCATCCTATTTTGACTCCTCAAAATTCAAGAGTCTATCCTAAATTGAGGTTAATTGTATGGCCTTCCAAATACCGTTTCGATTCCTAACATCACTGAAGAGACATTAATTGTCGAAATCCGGATATGGTGTACAAAAACCTTTGCACCTTTTGTTTGCGGTATATCATCTTTTCCGCAAGTTTATTGTTTTCTGTTTAGTATTAAATTTATAATGAAGATCCATTTATTACATCGGTGATCCGTTTATTTGGCAATCGCCAATGGCAGTCAGCAGGGTTTAAAGAACATTTGTTGTTGGACCTGTCAGTCAAATGCGTCTTGTTAAAATATACTTTTTCACTTTTTTGGTCTTTTGGAAAATGTTGTTTGTGCTGTATTTTAAGACCCCTCTAACAAGAAATTTGTTTTGCAAATTTGTTTTGCATGCACACGTATAAAAATTGCAGTTTATATCCAACGCAATCATAGGTTTGAACGTTGTTTTCAATTTAGACTTGTTTATATACATATAGGCCTATATTAATTAATTCTAACACAATCGATTCTTAATTTATTTGCCACCAATCCCATCTATTGTCATGATTTCAACAGCCATTCCTTTAAGCCTAATTATAATGGCCCTCCATACTTTTTTTAAAACCTCCCCAACTGAAATGTGTCTTGAACTTTGACTGCTGGTAGATTTGAAAATGTGAGTAATATAGAACACTTATAAAACAGATACTGTAAATTCAGAAATTATTGTGTGCATTTATTATTGCGATTTTTTATGACTCTACAAAAATGCGATATTAATTATAGCAATTTCAGGAAAATCTGTATACAATATTTGTATCAGATATCAGAAGACGAGTTCTTAATATTGCCATATGCACATGCAGTCGCATTATTAGCATCAATAAAAACCTGGCAATAATTCTGAATTTACAGTAACAAAAGATTGAGCAAAATAACCCCCACCTACACCCAAGGATGATGTCTGAGGTTTAAACACTAAAGAATAAAACAGCTTTAAATAGCTTTAAATTTACAGTTTAGTGGACCAATAAGCCACCAATGTATGGCCTATTTATGTCTACTTTTAATCATTCTGCATATTATTTGTTGTGAAACAGTTACAGATTATATAACCATACAAGAACATTCACTACGTTAATAGCTCTGTTAAATCACTGAACAGAATCAAACTTCTAAAATAATTTAATTGATAACATAAATTCAAATAAGTAATCCTTTATGGGGTAATTTAAAAGAGATTGATTTCTTGTTTCTGCTTTATAGCACTGCTGTGAAATTCATTTAAGGCTTATAATTTTCATAAGGTACCATGAATTATGAATACAACATTTTTTCAGTCCCACTTGTCCCTAATAATAAAGTTTCTAAGACTTCAGAAATGTTTTGGGATTTTACAATTTGAGTACTACATTATTCTTAGTTGACAACAAAAGATAGTTATGCTCTAAAGTGTGAGTACATTCTAGTGTTCAAGAAGGAACCTGTGATTTTTGTTCATTGCTATCATATATATAATATGAAATACTGAAATGATAGTGAAATAAGAGAAGACAACTACGTATATGTAAGAGAATGATAATCCCTTTCTTCATGATTAAGTACGAGCGTTAGCAAGTACTTATCATGAAGTAAGGGATTTATCATTCTCTTAAAAACTTAGAATATTGTAAAGTGCTCAAGGCTCAAATGATCTCTTAATAGGTTGTATTTAAGAATTAGTTTCATTGTCAGTGCAATGTTTATAATTAATGCATGACTCCTTTTTAGGCATTTCATTTATGGATTAGTTTTAGTGATGTAAGGACTTTCTTATCATTTGGGAAATTTAAAAAAAAAAAAAGCGTTATACATATTAGGTGACACAACAGAACAAAAAAAATGTAGGAATTGTATATGTTTCCTGATTGTGAGTATGAATGTAAATCATGTAATATTTTAGTGAGGAATTAATTTAATTTACAGTTTAAATCAATTGATACATTTGAGTTACAACTAAATTTTATTTAACAGCCAATATTTTGGTCCGGTTTTTACATCAAATACTATTTCATTATGTCAGGGAAATGTTCAAATAAAAAGCCTTTTATAAAAGTTTTAATATGTTCAAGACTTAAATTAAATTCCTGTTTTTTTTTTGTTTTTTGTTTTTTTTTTTTTCATCGGAATATTGGAAAAAACTATTCTTCCAAACCACTGATCCAGTGATCAAAGTTTTGGAAAGCTAATAATTGAGGTATTTTTTCTATTTTAAAGCTTTTTTTTTTTTTTTTTTTGCAAATGCTTTGATATTGTTTAATTATTTAGTAATTTGAAGTTATTAATATTTTCATAATAACATTCACGGTGCCAATTTTACTGCACAGTAAACTTCAACTTATTTTGAGTTTTTTGTTTGTTTCACAATTCAACTTCTAGTCAGTTTCAATCACAGTGTGATAAATCCTTTCATCAGATAAATGTGCTTCAGGGCAGTTGTAACTCATTTATAGAAACTCTTTGTTTTGAACTGTAAAATTGGACCCACATAATAGGATAATCCCTTACTAAAAACATGATTTACATTCATTCTTCACAATTAAGAGGCATCAAATCCTACAATTTCATTGGTCAAGAGCACTTTGCTATATTCTAATCAAGTAGAATTAAATGATTGGAATGACATCATTGGTGTCAAATTAACAGAACATAACTTTATAAACCAGCTACCAGGTCAAATATCTCTCTATCTAGAAGGAGATTTGCTGTACAACATATGTTGCAATAAATTTTGCAGTCTTACTTTTTCTATGTTTTTGGATTCTACAAAACTTACATCAAACATTACTTAATCTCTAATAATAGGAGTAAATTTAAAAGAAGATGTTGTGTATACATCAATTAAAATGAGCTACCCAAAAACACAAACAATCACAGACATCTTCAAGATTATACAATTGATGTCATCAATATTAGTGTCAATACCCTTTGTTGACCTCAAAATCGTCCAGAGACAAGATGTGAATAAATTCACAATTTTTTACCTTAAATGTAATATTTCCACTAAAAAATAAATCA